GGCAAATGGCAGTTCAAATCGGATTTTGATCAGACTCACTTTGAGTTAAAAGGGAAATTGGTCATTGGCGAATTCAAGTTGTTTTAATTTGGATTATTTCGAGTTCAAAGTCATTCAGGAAGGATTGGATTCAAGATATTTTAGTTTCAGGTCTGCCATGTCAATTCTACAAAGCGGCTCTAAGTATTCTAGGTTCAAGATATTTTAGTTGGACATTGGAGAGTTGCAGCAATAACCACTGCTTCCTGCAGAGAAACTTCTTTTCAGCAAAAAGTCTGCTTCAAGCTACAGCCTACGGTTTGAGTTAAATGATTTTCCTTCTAAAATGTAGAGATATGATTCAGCCCGTCTTGAAAAGTACTGTCAGATTTGCTCAACAATCTTAGAATCAACTGCCTTTAGAAAAAGATGTAGGGCTAATGTAAAATCACGTTTCAACTCAGGCAGTCAATTCAGCAATTCAAATTGTTTATCATGTAAAGGCAACAAATAGGTTGTACATGTTTTATCTGATTGCCAAAGGGCTTACAATTACAAACTCTACAAAGTTTCAAGACTTAAAAAGACTGAAAACACCTCTTTCAACCAAAGGTATAAATGTAAGCTCCCACAAAACCTAACAGAGATGAAGGAAATCTAGGGATCAGTGAGACAGGGTAAACCCAGAAAAACCAACTACAATTACAAACGTCACAAATGCCAAAAGGAATCCCCTCCTCACATCATTTCCCTCTATCATCACTGCACCACCTCCACTCAACTCATTATCAGAGTTTACAGTTCAATTCTCTCTTGTGGATTGAAACAACAAAGCAACCAGTGACACAAACAGATTGACTTACAACCTTGCTGGGAATTATTGGAAAATATTGGCAGAAACTTGAGCTTACAGTGGATTGATTACTACACAACGTCCAATTAGCTCAAATCCACATTATGCTGCTACTTGATGTCAAACAATAACATAATGGAAATTCTTTAGTATGCACATGAGAGCAAAGGGTACCTCAGAAACCCCGATTGACCCCATTCTGAGTTCTCCAAAACCGGAAGCTCGTCAGCCCCATTGTCATATTGGACAAGAAGAAAAACAAGAAAGTCCTGTATATCAACAAGCTGTTATTTTCCTTCATTGAATCGTTCTTGTAAGCTTACACTTGGAAATAAAAATGGTAGCCGTGTAATTTAGGCTACACAATTTCAACAACTCTGCTGACCGTTGCTTCAAAACAGGATTGTAACCACTCTGTATAACTAGAAGTAGCTTTGCAGCCAGACCAGCATCCACAGCAAGTGAAGCACATTCCTCTGGTGCAAACTTGCAAATGGCCCACAGTATCGACAATGCAAACTGAGTACAGTTTTCTGAAGCTTTCATCAATAGTTTCACCACATATGGTATGGTGTTTGGGCAATCTTTCAAAGCCAATCTTCCTTCTGGAATACTTGACAAAAGCTCTAATATATACAGGACTAATTCCAAACACTCATTATTCAAACCCGGCATCAGCTCAACCAAATGAGGAACTGCCCCAACATTGACAAAAGAGTTCCTAACTGATTCATGAGAGCAAATTGTCTTGAGCAAACTCAGTCCAGCCAACACACCATTTGGGCGCTTCTTATCTTTCACTAACCTCAACAATCCAACTAAAAGACTCAAACTTGCAACATTTTCAGACGCAGAATCATTCCCTTCCATCAACATTCCAATCAACCTCGTACAGTTGATCTTGGTCTCAATCGACCCTTCATTTAAAATATCCACCATTAAAGATATTTTAGCGGGCTGCAATAAATCGGACTTGGAATCGAAATCAAGATTCAAGTTCACAAGAACTCCAACTACCTCTGACCCAACAGCATGAGTTGTAAAAGGACCTAACAAAGATGAAATCAAACCAACACCTCCATTTTCCACAACTGTCTTCTTAGCAGTCCCATGAGCTTGAACCACTTGCCTAAGCTCCTTAAGAGCTTGAACTCTGGCTTGACCCTTAACTTTCTTCAAATTCTCCAAGATCTCTTTGACCCTTCCTTGCACATCCTCTGACCTCTTCTTCATAGCCAAATACTTCTGAGAAAACCAACTATAAATCAGCTGCTGGAGCGTCTTGTTTGGAGTCACTGAATCATCCCAAAGCTCTTGCATTGTGGTGGGACAAGTGTAATGGCCTAAAGAGAACCATTTAAGAATGTTGGATCTCTCATAGGTTTGGCCAGTGCAAAGAGTCACCGGGTCTTGCATTGGCTCCAGAGAAATTGGACATATGAAAACCGTTGGGACATCCATGGACTCAAGCTCTTCAATCATCACCTTCAGATCCAATTTCTCCGAAGCAAAACCAGTGGATATTACCCCACCGCCGCCTCCCAAAATGCCATCTTTCACAGCCGTTTCTAGATCTAGAACTTGGCTTTCAAGCTTCATGTCACCTTCTCTTCGAGTAGATGGTTGATACATTGGCATTTTTGAATTACCTTTTAACGATACTAGACTACAACAAGAAGAGAATCTAACAAAGACCCTTTTTTTCCCCAAACAAAACAAAGAGAGCTAATTTACAAGAACACAAGCACTGAGGAAGACATATCACATCTAGTAAACAAGAAGCGTGCGGGAAAGAAAAAATAAAGAGAGAAAGAAAAGAGAAGTAAGAGAAGACTCTTGAGAAGGCAAGCTTTATTTTATCTGTCTTCGTATCTCTTTCATTGACAAATCAGAAGCCACAATGCCAATCAATGGGGACATCTTTTCTCCCCCATTCTTTTGCTTTTCGTTGTTGTTTGCTTTATCTGATCTCTTTCTCTGGTCAAAAGGGTAACCTCCTCCTCCTCCTCCTTCTACACTTATACCATCACCATCATCAAAGAAATGATGGTAAAAAGAAAGTGCAATCTTCTTCCCTAATACCAAAGCTCTTTACTACCTACTACTCAAATACCCTTACTCAACTTCCTCCTCAAGACTCTTCCAGAAAAGGGTGAAATCATCACAACCGCAGACCCAGATCAGCTAAAAAGGAGAAAGTAGTGAAGAACAATCAAAAGTGAAAGAAAGACATGAAATTTGTATAGGAAAAAGAAGAAGAAGAGATATTGAGCATTATTAGAGACATGAAAGAAATGGAAGAATTCAACAATGCCTAGTTGCAGAAGGAGAAAGAGATTTAAAAAAACAAACATGAAAAAAAAATAGAAAAGGAAAAAGGCTATCTTCAGCACAGTCTTCGCTACTGCTCTTCTTTTGGGGCAGGGCAAGGGCAAGTGATTAAATTGAAAACCCAACAGAAATAGAAAAAATTTTATTTTTTGAAATTTTAAAGTGTATTATTATACTTCTTGGAAAAAGGACGAATACCGGCGATTGACCGGCTGTAGGCAGTGATTTAAACCATTGGTGACTGTGCACCACACGTGCATTCGTATCTTTAGTCACCGTTCTATCCCGTTCTATGAGTTGATTTTCAATTTCTTTCAAGGATTTTCAATACTCTTTACTAGTATTATTTTGCCTTGAGTTTTGAACAAAAAAATTTTAAAAAAGAATAAGTCTATGGCTTTTTAAATTTGTGGGAGCGATGGCCCCCACGCGAGATGGGATAATATAGAATCCAGGACGCAACCTCAGTCTCGTGGTCAAAAATAGGGAAATGATGTTGCCAACAGAATAATTACAACAGGGAACCCCACATCACGTCCTTTTCCGTTTCCTATTTCCATAATTCACATACAACCTTAGTTTGACCACTAAGACCATCATGTTACCTTAAAATGACATTCGTGTCCCTTGCAAATATTTTCAAGACCAATAACATCTTCAAATTTCATTTAACCGAAAATTGTAGTAATAAATAAAAACAATTACTTGAATTTATGAAGGGAGATCACTTCTATTCAAAACGAGGGGCAGACTTGAAATTTGAGGAAGAATTGGAATGAAATACACGTTTGGTTGGACCCATCAAGGAGAAATGGACCCCATAACTAACCTAAGCCTAGCATATACTCTTTTCGTCAAAAAAAAAAGAAAAAAGAGTAATTATTAGTTCTTTTTTTTTCCTATTTCCCTATGCGATTACAATTTGCCAGCATCATGAGATAATTAATAATAACTGACCAAAAAGGGCATCAAAAAATAAATAAAAAGAAGTGCATTTTTTTCTTTAAAAAAAAAGGCAGTAAATAGTAGAGTAGTATGAAAATTTAGAAAAAGAAAAACAAATGGATAAAATAGGAAGTGCAACTGGAATCCCCGTGGGGTGGTGGGGCCCCGAGAGAGCGTGCCTTAGTTAAAGTGCCAGCTCTGCTTTTGACCGGTTGCGGTGGGTTCGTAGATCGGTAGATGTACGGTTTTTGGGGTTTTGATGTTTTTCTAATTTTGGGCTTCTTTCCGGTCTTCGGTTTTGACCACTTTGATTAGCGCTCTCATGCACTTTGCTTCCGCACTGTCCATCACGACACCGACACGTGGCTGTGGGAACCGTGCGTCTCTGACTCCCTGTCACTTTTGCTCTGGCTTAATTCTGATTAATTTTGTTTATTGGTAATAATTATTGAAGACATTGTTTGCTGTTACATTTATGTACGATTATACTAAAGAGGTGCTGAATTGAGATTTGACTAATGCTATTGAATTCTTCTAAGAACCAACTCAAGTAATCATGGGCTGGCTCGGGCTGGACATTTGCTTGAGACAACCTACCTAGTGTTTTGAGGCTCCGCGCGCATGCCGGACTCTTAAAATTTGAAGTCTAAAACAGGTGTAAAGCCCAGGTCCATGCGCCGAGCTAAGCAACTCGAATCCCAGATCAAATAAAAGGAATTGCCCAACTATCCCTAAGCTGTATCACCAGTATCTATGGACGCTCGATGACTAGAGTCAAAGCTCTCAGGTTTCCCATATAGGAGATTTAAATGGAAAAGAAAAGAGAAAATAGAATTCTTAGATATCCACCCAAATAGATAATGGTGAACCAGAAAGGTGAGCTGCACCTAAATGCAAAATCAATGCTAGCTCTTTTATATTTTGATAGCAACAATGGACTGTATGAAAGTTTGTGTTGGTCTCCAATTTTGAGACTGAATTAGGTGTTACAATTGTTTGTGCTCTACGCAAAGTGGACCTCGGCCTGGGAATTGATTGAAGAAACTTCCCCTATTATCTGATCAAGTGCAGCATTATCTTCAAGCATTGACGTATGAGAGATGCCAGCGATTCTTATCACCTTAAGTGGTTGGCTCTTCTCATTAGCCCATAGGGACTCGAGTGCTAACAGGCTCACCAAGTTCACAGTCCCATCTCCATCCCCGTAAACGACCTCTGGCTGCTCATCAAACCCTGCTTCTCCGTAGAATAAAGTCTCTGCTGTCTTCACGCCCGTCCCGATTATACAGGTAACAGAAACATTAGGTGGTCTTAACTCCTCAGTCAACGGGAGGATTCGTGATTTATAAGGAATTACCCCTTCTGGAAACCCAATGTCATTCAAAAATTGTGGGATATCATGAGCTGAATAAGCCTCGCTTGGAGTAATAACAAGAATTTTTCCAGGGCCAAACAGCTGAGGAGAAGGCATGAGCCAGAGGTTACTTTCAGAGCTCCTTTGTTCTCCTCTTACGAGCAATGGATCAACCAGGGGCACTCCAAAAGAACTCCCGGAAGCAAAAGTGAGCATTTCTTGAACTGTGCCACCCCAAGGAGCTGAAAGTGCAACAAAGTGTTTGATAAACCGTTGGCGCCAAGTGGCTGAATTTCGGTTGAGAAGTTGGAGTACGTAGAGGCCCCCTAAGCTGTGGGAGAGGAGAATCACTGGCTTCCCTCCATTGGAAGCGCTTGCTTTTTCAATCAAATCTTTTAGGTCTTGCAAGAACTTGGAGCCCACATGGGATGGGTGGCCTTCAGCTGCCAACCCATATCGAAAGTCATACGGAGCTCCGAACAAGGTTTCACCACTGACATAACCAATCGCTTCCAGGGAATCTATCAACGGTGCCATGTATGCTGTGAGCTGCCTGCACATAGTAAGATTTCTTGGTCAAACACTCTATAAACCTTTACAGCCGAGAATTACACTGAAATTAAGTGGTATCGTTCAGAAACAAATTTACTTGAGATAAGGGTCAACGTAGAGAAGGGACTTAGTAGAACCAAATTCAGGGACCCTGGTTTCAACCCCTGGAGCATTGCGGTAATCATCTAAATCACGGTCATAATATAGCATCATACGTTGAGCAAAGCACTTGGTGAATGGAGCCAGCAGCACGCTGGGGTCGAACCACAGCCTGAACCATCCTTCTTTATCCTTGGAAATTGGATACCAACGGCCACAAAACAGGTTCAAGGGCTTGTAGCCAGTTGTTAGCCGTGCTTCAAGTTGGTTCCCGCCGTTCCCTGGTACCAGGATTAGAGGGTGAAGGTTGGTAATCGCTTTGCATAAGCAAAGCATCATGGCAATTGGAATTATAGCCAGCTTGATGCTTAGTCCCTGCATTTCCCCTTTTTTCCTTATCCGCTATCTAGCTAGTTGCTGATTTACTAGCAATCGATCAAGGCAGAGTAAGGTGGGCAAGTTCATGTGGGGTTACAATTGTTTCGTGGCCGTTGAACATCCCCTCAAGCAATAAGAGGTGGATAACGTGTCCACGTGCTCACGATGCTGGTTTGAGTCACTGCCTGCACATCAAGCAAGCGATGTTCATACGAGCAGGAATTGTTTAGCTTAACCGATCGAAGTTGGACGTATATAATTGTACCTAAAATTCTAAGCTTGCTTTTTTTATTTTTTTTGTTAGATTAATTTCAGCGGTCACAGTTTTAATATTCTCTTTTTTTTTTTTGTGAAAATAAAGGTTAAACTTGTATACCTTACAAGATAAGGGTTAACATGATAATTAAAATATTAAATGTCTCTCTCTTTTTCTTTTACGATACATCTTAAACAAGAAATGCAGCAGCAAGTTGAACTCTAATGAGTTGAATCATGAATTTTTGTTATTCATTGCAAATGTAGCATCCACAGATTAGACCTAGACTACTTCAAACAATATAATGTAAAAATTGCAATTTGAAACCCAAGTTGAGATGGTTGTTAGTATTGAACCAAGGACTTCACATATAAAAATTAGAATGCAACACATTGGCCAAACTTAGACAGAATTCTGAGTATTTACACACTTTTTATCAATTCTGCATGTACAACAAATTCCATGCAAAGGTATTGCATTGAAGCATCATCTAGTAAAACAGAAACGATTCATCGAATTTCACTTTTCTTTTAATAAAAAAGAATGGTTTACAAGCATGGTAACTGGTAAGCACCTAAAAACCAACCTAAACCTCTTCAGAACTTCTCAAGTTACTTGCATGTGCAAGAAACATTTCATAGAGTTCTTCAGCCTTTGGACGATCCGTAGGATTTTCTACAGTACAACGATGGAACACATTAATAAGGAATCTAAGTGATTTGATTTCAGATTTTGGTCTGTCCAACTCTTGAGATATTGCAAACTCATCCAGCAATAGCAATGCCTCCAGTTCATCAGTTAGTGGAGGTCGTTTGCCCATTTGAATAAAGTCATGCATTTGATCATCAGAAAAATCGAAGTATGGAATTTGCAGAGTTAATAATTCATAAATCAAGCATCCATATGACCAAATATCCACTTCCAGTCCATATAAATTAGGTTTCTGTATTGTCCTTAAAACTTCTGGGGCCATCCAACGCGGAGTTCCAACACAAACGTTAGGAGGATGTATTCCTGTATGAGCGATACAGCATTTATGCAAGAAAGAACGAAGAGGCACTGCTCTATCAAAATCACAAAGCTTGACAATAGGCGTTCCATCAGCCCTCTTCTTATCCAAATCAATCAAAATATTGTGGCTTTTAATATCCCGATGAATAATGTGTTTAGAATGTAGTGCTGCCAACGCACAAGCAACATTGTGAGCAACAGATAATGCCAAATCAAGCGGGAAATGTTTCTTGCCAGCTTTCAATAACTTCTCTATTTGGCACTTCAAAGATCCACCTTTTACATACTCCATTAAAATGGCAGACTGTATTATGCGATGCTCGGGCCTTTCAGCTGCTGAGGGAACCCACTTCGAAGATATTTGATGCCCATACAATTCTACAATGCAGGAGTGTTTCAAAGCTCCTAACATTCTTATCTCTCCTAAACAACCATACTCAAAGTTTCTAATTTCATTCATTGAAGTTACATGGACATCTACTGTACGCACCTTTGCTGCCGCCTCAACTGAACCAAATGAGCACTTAATGAGGGATGCATTTGGTGTCTTTTCAATTTTTTCACTTGTGGACAAGGAAGGAAAACAATCAGGGTCAAGATTGCATCCATTTGAGAGAAAATCTTTGGTCCGAGTCAAGGGAATGTATCGACAAAAATATTCTGGATCCATCTCTTCTCTTATGTCATCAGGATGGCATGCGTCAACCACCATGCGGACCAATAAATCACCTTTTTTGACAAATACTACATTCCAAGCATGTGGAGAGAAGTCAAGGTATCCCCTGACCAGCTCACAAGGCACTGGTGGCACCATACGATCACACAAATACTTCATGAGCAATGCTCTGTGTCTACACACACCAAACTGCATAGTTCCTATAGGAACTATAACAGAATTCAGTCTTGACTTGGTAGAACATAGTGATTTATCACAAAGATCAGCAATACTGATATCTTGTATAGTACCAAAATTCCATTCGGCAGAATCATTTACACAATCATTATTTCCAGTAGCACAGCTGCAAACAAATGGCTTCTGATAGTTTGAACCAGACACTGCTTTTCGAGTCTTTTCGATGGAAATACTTCTATCACTGCCTCCAAAACGATTCGATACAAACAATGCAAGCAATGATGCAATTTGAAGGTTATCCATTGGAGTTGGCTCCCCATTACTGCCTAAGCCATTTAATTTCTTCCAACTGGATATCAAAGCTTGAGCAGAAAGAGTAATTGCATCTAACTGTTCATCCCTCTCCCTGTCAGCAAGAATGACTTCACGTGAATCTAGTTGCAAAATACGCTCATAACTCTCAAGTGACATGAAAAGCCGGTCACGTCCCGCATCATAAAAGCCATCTGGGATCCGGTCTTTAATGCTACAAAATGAAGTATTGTTATACTTGCGTGATAATGAAAAATTACCATCATTTGGTTTCTGGTACTTGCATGGCTTGGAATTATCATCAAGATCACAACTGGACCGCCTCTTTGACATGCAACTAGTGTTGAACGATTCTGAATATGAACCTTTACCCTGGCTGGAAACAGAAATTTCATCTTGCTCATCATACTCCTTTTCGCCCTCTTTTATGGACTCATGATCCCCCCAAATGCAATTTTCTCCAGAGGCTAAAGTTTCCTCCACTGCATTTTCTCCAATAAATGAATTTTCACTCTCACCTTTATCATTCTCATCACCATTCAGATCTACAATGTACAACTCACTTTGCAGACCAGTTTCAGAGCTAAAAACTTCATCTTCATCATTCCCTTCGCTTTTCAACTTCTTGCTATTTCTTAACTTGTCTTGTTGTCTTCGCTTCCATCGCTTACCAGAACTCAAACTCTGGGATTCAAATCTACTTTTCCCAGATTGACTCAACATCTCCGATGAGGTATTGCCTTGAGGGCAGTCAATAGAAATACTCACTTCTTTCTCTCCTACACTCTCACATACACAAACAGATAAACCTTTGCCATCACTATTATTCCCTTCTAAATCACAGCTTATCCATCCGGGTATATGGATTTGGCAACAATTCATAATTTTATTGTACCCAACATTCAAATTCTTAAGCCTATGCATTGCCTCTAACTCTAGCGGCCTCAAAGAAGTTAATCTATTATTGGACAAATCCAAGTTCTCCAACTTATTCAACTTAGACAAACTCGAAGGCAGCTCCCTTAACTTATTATGAACAACTTTCAAAGTGATTAACTCATTCAAATTACTAATTTCAGCAGGCAAGTACTTCATTTTATTAAAAGAAATATCGAAAAACTCCAAATTCGTTAAGCATCCAATCTCTGAAGGAAGGTACCTGATAGAGAAGTAACACAAAGTGAGCCTAGTCAAGCCTTTGATTCCAGCGATCTCAGTCAATGCAGTTAACCTCGAAGGCCGAGGAGGGGTTCTACTGAGCTCGAGCTCCTTCAACTCGCTGAGTTCGCGAAACGAGACGCCGTTTAACCCCGGCGAAGAAATCTTCATCTGCAAGGACTCTAATTTTGCCAAATTCCCAACCTCGGATGGTAACAGATTAATCTCGTTACTGAAGAATTTCAAATATTTCAAATTCCCAAACTGGGAAACTGTCTCGGGAATCAAATTAAAATCATTATTGTACAAATAAAGCCCCTCGACAGAGGAACCGACCTTCTCTTCAGGGTTGCCGAAGAAAGAGAATTCTACGGCTTTCCCCGACAAGTCGAGCGCTTTGTCTTCTGAATCTTCAACAATGTTCTTGTCCTCGATCGAAGAAGCCATTATCGTTTAGTAAAGGCGATGGCAGCAAAAGCGTGGGAACAACGCAAAGACTTCACAGGCAGGGTATCTGGTGTGAAACGTTAAGAGTTGGGGGAGAGGGCGCGGGAGTTCTTTTATAGGCCGCCTTGAGTGATCAAATCCTATTTAGGATTCAAATTGGGCGATTAATGGGCTTCACCTTTTCTTTCTAGCCCTTCAAGTTTCAATCGGGTCTCTTTTTTATATCTTTTGACATTTGGAATCAGGATGTATTTATTTAAAGTGTGCTTAGAATATAGTTACTTAAGGTGTAATATTTATAAATTTTTTTAATTATTTAAAAATTTTAAAATTTTTTTATGTTTAATTAAATTTTTATATTTTTATTTTAAATTAAATAAATATAATTAATTAATAATAATTAATTAATATAATATTTATTATTTTATATTCATGTGATGTCAAGATAGAAGGTTAAAAAGTATCGTGCAATCATGTTATCATGTCGTTCAAAATATCACATCACAATTTATTATATTATATTAATATATGATATTAATATTATATAATATAAAATAATAAATAATATTTTAATTAATAATAATTAATTATTAATTATAAAAATTTATCTGATTTAAATAAAATTATAAAAGTTTAATTGAATGTTAAAAAAATTTTATTTAAATTTTTTTAAATAATTTAAATTTTTTAAAAATATAATAAACTTAATTAATATTTAAAATCAAAATTTTATTTTTTTATTTTTTTAAATTATTCCGTAATGTGAACGCCAATGAGACGTGAGTTTGGGTTCAATTCAAAATGCAAGAAACAATATATGCGATAATTCTTTCCTTCTATTGCTATTAGTCATACAAGTTGTTATTCAAATTGTCTTGTACATGTATGAAAAGTATGTTAGGACTTTCCTTTTCTTTTTGTTATTTTTGACAAATAATTGTCTAAGACGTTGGATGCTAGATTTTTCTTGAAATTTATTTTTTTGTCATTATTTTTATCCTTTACATTAATCAATTATTTAATAATTCAATTTTTATGAAAAATAATTAATTTTTATTTAATAAGATATAATGTTTAAAAAGAATAAATAAAAAAAATATATATATCAAAAATATATATTCGAGTATTTGATTTATTGGTTGATATATATAATTTTTTTATTTTAAATAAAAAATATGTATAAAAAATATATAATTATTTACTAACTATCACTTTTTAAAAATCAAAGGCAATCTGGATTATGAAGGCAAATTGACGGTTAAAACTGAGATTATTGTTAGCTATTGTTTTCTTACAAAGCGATCACTGACTTTTAGTTTGAATAAATCCTTGGACCACTTTGTACACCCTAGCGAATGCGCAAGGTAAGACACAAAGCGTTGAAAATCAAGCGTGACGTGAACGTTCATACTACATGTGACTTGCCTTTGTTCATTAATTTGATAACATGTGAGTTTAATGCTAATTAATTTAAACAATTATGCATTTTCCTAAATGTTTTAAGAGTCAAATATCGTCATTGTGAAGTAAAAACAAGTTCGTGAGGATAAAAAATAAAAAGGAAAAACCGTACAAAAAAGTGACCAAAACTTGTGAAAATATGAATAAATGTGCAGGCGCCAACGGAGAACGTTGTTTTGGTTTACTTCCTTGTCAAAGGCACTGTCGGTTTGGGAGACCAAACTTAAAACATCAATTATTCGGACATTTGGAACACTTTCCACTGCTTCGTGTTCTTCGTTTTTTTGTTTTTTTTATCCTGAAATTCAAGGCTTTTAGTTGAAGCTGTGATGATACTTTTCTTTACTGGGACCGGAGAGGTTGAAAAATAATGAAAGAAACAGTACCTTAAGTTGTAATAACTACAGTAGTGTAACATGACCCTCTCTTAAAACTGGCTAAGGCCTAACCATCGAATTAAGAACAACCTGATCGTGATCATTGGACGAAATTTTTAATTAGAAATACCTAGACTTTACTTTATATTTACGAGATTTTTTTATGACAATATGAGTCGAATCAAGAAAATATAAATCCATTGATATAAATTTAATTAACTCATAAACAAAATAATCCTCCTCTTAATTAGACTATAACATGTGTTATACAACTAGTTCCCATGTACGTCTGAAAATTCTAATTTCCTCAATCAAAGTCTTATCTCCTAACCTAATCCTCTTTCCAAACCTATCGTTTGCCTTCACTTTCATAAAAGTAAATAAAAAGGGGGTCCGTTAAGCAGGTGTAGCCGGTTGAAATTAGGCCAAGAGACGAGAAGGGGTTAGGAAGGGGAGTGTGGTTTTGCAATAGAAAGTCAAGCGGTCGAGGTATTTGTTCAGTCAAGTTATGGCTGCTTCTTTAATGCTATGACACACTACACATATTTGTTCTTATCTAATGGTTTTGTCTAATCCTGCGTGCTTTGGGAAAAGTCCAAACCCAACCGCAACCTTCCTTCCCAATTTGATAGTTTCTATTCAACCACCATAAATAAAGCCATTCTAATTACCTCGACAAACCAAACCTTCTCATACCTAACTCTTCTCCTCACAATTCAGTTTCAAGCTTTCTTTTTTGGTTTTTATCAAAACCCCATCTCGAATTTCTGATCACTTTCTGATAATCAAATCAGCTCGCAAGATGAGAAGCAAAGGACATAGCTCTAACAAGTTCGTGCGGTTCATTACAGTTCCCTTTAAAATGTTAGGCAAAGCTAGGGATCTGTATGTTAGGAGTTTGTCAAGTTGTGCTTCAACTGTCAGCTACGGACAAAGCTCGGGCGGCTACACAGGGCAATACTCAGGCTTGCCAAGGAGCTTTAGTGCAAGCTCAGCGGCATCATCTAATGACAATGAAGATCTTAGAGAGCTTATTAGAGCTGCATCGGTTAGGAGTTTGGGTCATAGGAATGAAATGGAGATGTTTCTGCAACAACAATTGAGGCAGATGGGATCAAAAGGGTTGCCAAAGAGTTGCAGTGTGGGGATGGGAAGAATTGATGAAGACAAGCCTTGTGAATTTGAAGAAGAAGATGATGTTGTTGTTGATAAGAAGCAAGATTTTTTGTATCCGAGAAGCAAAAGCTATGCTGTCACAAAAAGAAGTGTTTTGCTTTGATTCCTTTTGATTCTGTAATTGCATATAAGGGAAGTAAAAGAACCTCTCTTTTCTCTCTTAATTGTCTTGCTTTTTTTGTTGTTTTGAGATTTTTTTTTTTTAAATTAGAAAGGTGTTTTCAAGTATGATATTGTTAATGGAATTGCTTGCTTCTCTCTTTTGAGACAACCACCCCCAAAAGAATCAAATATGCTAGTATAATTTAACCCCCATCCATTTCCCAGAGTGGAAAAAGCAGCACATCTATCATCTTTCTAGATATATGTTCTGCAGAAGTCTAGAACAGCAATGAAGGCCAACATTGAACAACAAAACTGATCTGCCCCTTGCTAATTAATCAAATGCCAGGCATGCTATGCAGGAAATGTTTTTGTATTTCAGTTTCAGTGCATCAGCAAATTAGCTCTCTTTCGCGGTAGGAATTTCTTTTCAATTGAAATGAATCCTCACATATTTGCAATGGGGTGAAGCACATTTTAGTCCAATTTAGAAGCGGAGACTATTGGCAGTGAAGTGCCTAACTGTAGTAGAATTGGCAGTGTCTGAAGCCTTCACAGAATCCGTTGCATTGCCAAAGTTGGAGGCATTAGCCCTTAGCACATGAAAACATAAAGGGCAGAAAATCGTCAAGGCATAGGAAAAACATTGAATCAAGGCGTTTCTATCACCAGTTCCAAATTTAATACTTTTCCTTCTTTCTTCTTTTGGGTATGACTTTTCCTGCTTTCTCATTAAGGTTCTGCTGGGGTCTAGCTGGCAGATCATGAATTGGAAGCTTATCAACATTGGCTCCACGTTGGGAATGGTTTAAGTAATAATGGAAAACATAGTTAACATACACAGCGCGAATTCCACATTGCCAAACAATGTCTAGCTTGGGCCTTTGAAGTTTGAAGCACAATGGCTTGTTTCAACTATGGCTTAAAAACATCAATCTCGTCAATTGGCAATGGGCTGTTACGAAATGAAAAGTCTTAGAACCTTAAAAGCCTTCTAGATTACCAAAACACCCCCATATCCTCAAAGAAATAACAAAACATGTTCCCAAACCGACCAGCACTTCCCAAAAGTCGCATCATCGTCCCGCCACGGTACCAACTTCGACCGTCTTCTTTGTTCTGTCTGATCATTCAATTATCCCCCAACTTCATTTCACGTCCCGAGTAATTCATTACGCTACTATCACTAACAAAGGAACCAAATCTTCTTGCTACCCCAATTAGATGGGAGCAGAGAAATGGAAAGGAACCAACGTGTCAGACATTGAGGGTGAAGACGACCTCGACGAGGAGCCTGGGGAGGTAATCGAATCAGCTCCGCCTCTCGAGGTCGGCGAGGAGAGAGAGTTGGGTAGTTCTGGTATCAAGAAAAAGCTCCTCAAAAACGGTATCTCTTGGGAAACTCCTGAGTTTGGCGACGAAGTCACCGGTAATTTCATTTCATTATAGTTAAAGTTGTTCTTTTATTTATTTTAATTTTAAAAATGGTGAATTTTCTTTTTTCCTTGAGTTATTTTTGAGCTTTGAGTAAAGGGTGATCGAACCTATGCAGTTCATTATGTGGGTACCTTGCTTGACGGGACAAAGTTTTGTTCCACAAGGGATAACGATGAACCATTGACATTTAAGCTTGGTGAAGGTGAGTTTTTTGTGGTTTAATCTTGATGGAGTTGCTTAATTAACTGTTTTGTTTAGCTTCATTAATGTTTTAATGGGGTTTGGTAGGTCTGGTAGCGAAGGGTTTGGATCATGGGATTATAACTATGAAGAAGGGGGAATGCGCATTGTTCACATTGCCCCCTGATTTCGGTTATGGAGCTGAAGGTCGTGATGGTTTGCCACCTGATTCGGTTATGCAATTTGAGATGGAACTTCTTTCGTGGATTACGGTGGTGGATATAAGCAAAGATGGTGGTATTATCAAGAAAATTATGGAGAAGGGAGAGAGGAATGAATGGCCTAGTGATTTAGATGAAGTTCTCGGTACATTAAACTCTTAAATAGTGTAACTTTATTTTCTTTGTTTTTAAATTGATTAATATTGCATCAAGCCTTTACATATATAGGAGGTGAATAATGAGAGGTATTATTTTCTGGCATTTCTTTATACAGTAAAATATCAAATGGCGCTTGTCGATGGGACTATAGTTGCAAAAACTCCGGCAGAAGGAAATGAGTTTTACGTGAAAGATGGTAATTTAAGTTGAATATTGGACTTTTATGGCAGTTGGTAAGAGATATAAGACTTCTCATAAATGGAAATTTTCAACATGGTCTCTGTGTTTGCAGGCCGTCTATGTTCAGCATTGACAAAAGCAATCTTAACAATGAAAAGGGGAGAGAAGGTTACACTAATTGTTCAACCGAAGTGTATGTTGTCATATGAGCATTGGTTTACTGCAATTCAAATCTTGATTGACTTTTAATCCTAGAGACAATACTTTCAAGTTTTACAGTGTGCAGAGTTCAATGCAGATGCTTTTGGAGAGAAAGGGAGGGATGCTGCTGATGGGTTCCCAGCTGTTCCACCAAATTCAGTTTTGAACATTGAATTGGAGTTGGTCTCTTTCAAGTCTGTTGTTGATGTTACTGGTGATTCTAAGGTATTCAAAAAGATTTTGAAGGAGGGAGAGGGTGCTATTGTTGCAAATGAAGGTGCTGCCGTGACTAGTAAGTATATTCACCAATAAAGATATCATATTAGTGTTTGTTCAAATCAAATTAGGTTCAGAAGTAGTGGATATTTTTCCACTTTCCACTTAGGTCTGAAATGTGATTGATACTGGATGGTATAGGCATACATGATAATATCTGGAAAAAGTAGATGTGATACGTAAATGATAAATTGGATTATATGAAAATTTTATTTCGTTTAAGCATTGAGCTTATTTTTATGCTTGCTGGTTCTGTAAGCAAGAAAATTTTATATGAAAAAAAGTTATTGCCAACTTTTCTGTGAAATTTTTGTAAGCAAATCTACTAAAATTTGGGATAAGTGATTCTTTCATCGAGGTGATTCAATCAGAGGAGCCCATGGCAATGTGTAATTCCTATTCTCTAATTATTTCCTTCGTAGTGCTTCTTCTTTAATTACTTGACTCTGGATATGCAGTTAGCTATACAGCTAGGTTAGAAGATAATACTGTGTTTGAGAAAAAGGGAGTTGATGGAAAGCAGCCATTGGAATTTATCACAGATGAAGGTTAGTTTACCCTTATATCGCAGTTTTGCTAGATTGCCAGCAGGAAACTTTGGATCAGCTCTTAACTGGTTTTATCAATTTGACAAATAGAACAAGTGATTCCTGGTTTGGATCGAGCGGCAGCAACAATGAAGAAGGGGGAACAAGCATTGTTGACAATCAGTTCTGAGTATGGTTTTGGGAGTGTTGTGGCAGAGCGTGATCTTGCTGTAGTCCCACCATGTTCAAACCTATTCTATGAAGTTGAAATGTTAGATTTTGTTAAGGTAACCCTGTCGACTTGTTAAACATGGCAGTACCTTGAATTGCTTAGTACTTTGTTGCAGGTAGTTCCATTAGGAAATGTTCTTTAGTTCTGGTATGTTGGTCCAAATTATCCTCAAAGTTCTTGATATATCAATATATCATCCCAGCTTGTTTTGGGTTCTTACCTTATCCAGTAAAAGAAAAAAAGAAAAAAAAATCCAGACATATTATGGGTTGCTACTTTCCAAGTTTTTTGTTTATTTTAAAAACATAACCAAACATGATCTATCGGATATGAGTGCGTGGCAATGAAGCTTCTTTTATCTGTCTGGTACTGAAGTTAGAAGGTGATGTTATATAATCTACTGACACTTGCATCTGCTTAATGAATTTAATAGGAAAAAGCCCCATGGGAACTGAATAGTCAAGAGAAAATTGAGGCTTCTGGGAAAAAGAAAGAAGAAGGGAATATGCTATTTAAAAGTGGGAAGTATCAAAGAGCAGGAAAAAAGTATGATAAGGTAATCTTAAGCATAGGTTTAGTCTGATTAAAATTTGAAGCCCATATTGTATATTTCAGAACATTGTTTTCTGCTATTGTCCTGTACCATCAGGCTGTGGACTATGTCAGTGAAGATGGATCCTTTAGGGATGATGAGCAAAAGCTAGTAAAAGCACTAAGGATTTCTTGCTGGTTGAATGGTGCAGCATGTAGCCTCAAACTAAGTGACTCCCAGGGGGCAATCGAGTTATGTTCCAAGGTGAGTTGCCAAGCAACCAATACAAATCTATAGAATTGAAAAGCTGATTATTCCCCTGTTATAAATATGTCTCGGAAACTGGTCATTAGAGCATGAATTGAGGAACTTAGAAAATATTTACCTTGTCTATGTGCAACCTCTCTTTTCCACTGGAATTGGGGGATTTACCTCAGCACCTCTATTTTATATTCACCTTGGACTTTTTATTGTTTGAAGACTATGCCCATGAGGGTGTATTTCACGTTATCACTAGCTTCCTGAATGTTTGCACATGTTTAGTTCCAAATGAAATTGATGAAATCCCTGCATTCTTACAAAGGTGAAGCTTTTAAGAGCATGTAAAATTTACACAGGATGATTAGCAGCAAACGAAGTATCTTCTTTTATTTTTAAGGGTTCATTTTCCTGTAGGTACTAGATTTTGAGTTCCACAATGTGAAAGCTCTATATAGGCGGGCACAAGCCTATATGGAAACTTCAGATCTAGTTTTAGCTGAATTGGACATCAAGAAAGCTCTTGAGGCTGATCCCCAAAACAGGTAAAGGTGGAATTATATAGTCCAAATTTCCAATATGCAAGTTCATTGTATCTGCCAAATTGCCATGGCCACATCTATTACTTTTGCCAGGGAGGTGAAGTTACTTCAGAAGACACTGAGACAACTCCAAGTTGAAAGCAACAAGAGGGATGCTAAACTCTTTACAAACATGTTTGCACGTATGTCGAAAGACTCATCTGTTCCAATGAAGGTGAGTGGTGCTGCTGCTCAACCACCTTTTAATGTGTTATAGTTGGTAAATGTGCAATTCAGCTTGAGGGAAATTATTCTGAATAAATTTCCGTAACTAGTATCCCAACTAGATGTTATATGTTGTTTGCCAATGTACATTCAAATGAATTTCTTTGAACATTATGGCAGAAATTGAAGGTTGAGAAAGCAGTGCATGGGAAGAGTGAAGAGGTCCTAGCAATGGAAATGGAATGTGCTGGAGATAGTTCGGCACCTTCTGAAGATAGAATGGCTGTTGATTCGAGTTGAGAAAATGTATTTTAATAGAAGACGTAATCTAACAATCCAAGTTTGAAATAGCACTTCTTATCTTTCTAACAAAAGGTTAAGGTCATATGTTCAAATTCGTATTGCCCCCTAGGCCTTCTTCAATTGTAAGTTCGACCAGAAAAAAACACAAGGGAAAAACAAGTACAATTCTTGTAAACTGAAAGAAAGAGGGATGAAAGAAAGGATAACCCCGGTATAAAGATGTGATCTGTGTTCTCTAAAATTTCATAGGATTCATAATATTGAACTTGATGTAAGAGCTGCCACTGTGTCTCTGTCTGTATGTGTGCGTTTCTTTTTCTTTGCTTTTTTGATTGATGTATGCTCGTGTTTCTGTAGTTTGGCATGTTGCTTTTATTTTTTTGTACGCCGTTGGGAGGGTTTGTCTTCGTGAGCACCGTGGTCCCATCACTCTTCCTTTTGGCTCGATGCAAAGAAACGTAGAAAACGACAAGGTGAACAGAAACAAGTCAATCCCAACTTGTTTTCCTATTAATGCATTAATTGGTTCATAAAAGGGAAACCAAGCTTTTCCCCGTCGTCTGCGATCCTCAGTCGTTTGTCTGTTCATTGGAAAATAGGACTGTGGACCATTGATTTTTGACCATTAGGCCATTTTGGTTAGTGACGCATCTATTCGATTCTAACGTCAATGTTTAGGAGCTAGGCTCCAATGGATCGCAGCTATAACTATGTATGAAAATGGGCTTTAATTAATATTACTACTGAAAGGCAGGCTTTAGGCTTCAATCTCTCAGCCCGAATTTATAATAATGAAGGAAAAGGAAAATACAATGACTAAAAGGTTAAGAGAGAGAGAGAGAGAGAGAGAGAATCTATAGAAAAAAAAAAACCAAATTAACAATTATATATGTCTTAGACTAACAGGAAAAAAACAGTTGAGAATGTTTGTGCCATGTCCTAAAGTACGAGAGGAGTTGCTATCTCAATCATGGTAAGCATATTACCACATAGGAAGACGTACGTAGCAATAATTTCAGAATAGTGTTTTCCGGAGTGTTTCACTTCAATTTCGTCACTGTATCCATTAAGATGTCTTAGGAAAGGTGTGGTTACAAGTAAACCGTAACCACCGACTCTATTCACATAAATACAAATACAAACAAGAAGTCGTTACGGAAGCTCTCAATTCTCTATCATCACCTTGAACTTCTTTGCTGCTCTCATGGACGTTAGCCACTCGTTTGTGTCAAATGCTTATCCTACGTCCTCAACACCGGACTATATAGGATACTTACAGAGCTAAAAAAATGGCAAGTGAAATGAAGATGGCGCTGCTAGTCTTTTTATTCTTTCTTTTTCAGGTTTGCTCACGGCTTGCTTTCGCTCATTCTTCTGTCAAGTTTCTTCCTGGGTTTGAGGGGCCTCTCCCTTTTGAACTTGAAACCGGGTAACCTAATGAATTTCTGTGGTATTTTTTGTACTATGGTAGTAAAGATAGTTCTTGACATAATAAATGTCTATATTTTGTCAGGTATGTAGGTGTTGATGATTCAGAGGATGTTCAGCTCTTCTACTACTTTGTAAAGTCGGAAAGAAATCCTGAAGAGGACCCTCTTATGCTTTGGTTGACTGGTGGCCCTGGCTGCTCTGCGTTTTCCGGTCTCGTTTTTGAAATAGGTAAGACAGCCAAATTCGACAATAGCATTCAGTTTAGTTGTACTTTGCTTAAAGAAAAAGAGTGCTTTCTGAAGTTCCTCTGGGTCAGATGCCAATGGAAAATTTACCTCTTTAAAGACCTGATATCTCTGGACATGCACAACAATACGATATGCAAATTTCAGAACCCCGAGAACCAAACGGAATGATATTGATGGACCAACCCATTACAGAATTTATGTCCTTGAGCCTTTTCTAGGCAGCAAAACGAGCAAAGCATTGAGTCGAAATGGTACATGCTGTTAGTGGGTATTTTAACAGGGGATATTGGAGGGGTAGTGAGAGGGAGGAATTGTGTGGATCTTGCTGCTACGAAGTCAAAGGCAGAAGCAGCAACCACGAAATAAAGAAGCCATTCAGATATGTATCAGATATGGGGCGATTACGAACCTCCTTCACACAAGCTGTCTTATGAGGTTGCTGCACCGAGGGGTTGCTTCGGATATTCTAACTTAAGTCGTTTAAATCTTGTGGGCTGTTATGGGTAGTGTATGATCTTTGTAAGCCCGGTTTTTGATCAAGGGAATTGTTTAGAATGTTGATGATTTATGCTGCCAATCTGTTTCTGGGTCAGCAACGAACTTTTGTAATTGTTCGGGTTCTCAAAACCTATGCTAGATTTTTTATGTCATTTAAAATCTTCAGCAAGTCATGTTAAGAGTGTTGAGAATGGCGTAATGGTAAAGAAAACTAATAAAATCAACGATTTAAAAAAAAATTAACGGTTTTAATTCACAAAAAATTTACTAAAATTGCAGATATCGAATGAAAATTAATGATCAATCGTTAAATTGAAATGATCATATCATAACATTGCAGGTCCATTGAATTTCAAGGCCGACGTGGAGTACAACGGAAGCTTACCGACTTTGGTATTGAATCCATACTCATGGACAAAGGTGATTGTGCCATGTACTGAACTGGAAGCACTTGTCTCCTTTAATTTTCTTTGCTATCCCTCCGTTCCTTCTTTTAAGAGTTGTAATAAAGTTGGAGTTAATGGCGAATTTGTAATTTGCTTCCAGGTTTCCAACATCATATTCGTAGATTCACCAGTTGGCACAGGATTCTCCTATGCAAGAAACAATTTTGCTGCACAGACAGGTGACCTCAAACAAGTTAACCAGCTCCACCAATTTCTTCGTAAGGTACATCCACATTTATTAAGCAATTCAAAATTTTCTTCGGCAGCCTTTTATTAAGCAGAGAACCACTGTTATCTATCTAAACCAAATTTTTTCCAATTTGAAGTGGCTGATGGATCATCCAGACTTCATTTCATGTCCGGTCTATGTTAGTGGGGACTCGTATTCTGGCATTCCAATCCCAGTCCTTGCTCAAGAGATCTTACATGGTAAATGCTGAACTGAAAGAGAGATCTAGTGAAGTTGGAGATAGCCTTATTAATTTTTCATATAATCACGCAGGAAACGAAGAAGGTATCAGACCCACAATTAGTCTACAGGTTTGGAAGCGTATCCTTCCTGTTGTTTCTTATTGAGAATAATTAAACGCATACAGTCTCATGCTGATGCTTAAATAATTTATATTATTTTACCACGGGAGCTCATTAAAGTTTCACACAAGATTAGAGACTTTGAATGGCATTGAGGACTTGTGTTAAATAAAATTATCACTTTATAAAAAAAAATCACAATAAAGGGATTTTGACCCTGAAAAGATGTTATTTTTCGGCTCCACCAGTCCCATTTTCAAACCATCTTAAGATGGATTTGGGGATGATTAAGTCCAGACTCTTCTCAATTCTCATAGACTTATTCTGTTTTATTGCTAAAAATAAATAAATTTAATCAAGAAAGAAATATGTTCCAAATAGGAGGAAAGAATAGAAGACAGCAAATGATATTTACTCAGATTTAATAGGAGCCAAAAAATGTGAGAGAAAAAGAAAAAAATGATTGTCTTTTTATCCAAACTAATATCAATTGATCTTCTTAAATTAAGAAAAGAGAGATGTGTCAAGTGTCTTTATAATATATTAATTATATATTATTAATTTAATTAATTTTCAATATCAATCAAGATTTGAGATCTTGAAAAGTCTAACATAACCCAATTTGGGTTTTAACGCTTAGTCCAACTATTAAAAATCTATTTTTTCACTTAAAGAATTTATTTTATCTTTCAACATGAAATTGTCTCTCACATTTATTATTGTGGAAAATGTTCAACACGAACAAACTCCTTAAAATATACTTGGGTTAAAACTAATCAATGCTTCATGTCCTTGTGACTTTTCTTTAATACCGTACCATAATAAACAACATTAATTAGTGCTTCGATGAGTTGCTGATCAGTAGTCAGGTAATGGATTCTGATTGGTTTCAGGGATACGTACTCGGGAACCCTGCAACAGTGCCAAGTCTTGAAGCCAACCTCAAGATTCCATATGCTCATGGAATGGGACTAATTTCTGATGAACTTTACGAGGTGCAGTAATTTAATCTCTCAAACCCTTCTGATCCAGATTTTTCCACTCTCCAAAAGAAGGCGACAGTGTTTTAAATAAATGAGTTGTTGACCTTTTCCAGTCACTGAAGAGAAGTTGTGAGGGAGAGTACCAAATTGTTGATCCCAGTAACGAGGAGTGCGAGAAAGATATTCAATATTTCTCCAATGTATGTGGATTTCTTATTTTTTTCTTTATAAATAAAAAATTCTTTCAGTATTTATGTTGATTTTCGTTTTAATTTAAAAAGGAAAATGAATTCTAATCTTTGGGTAGGGGATTTGCATGGACCATTAAATTAAATGTTTGAATTGCGTTGATCTTTTAGTTTAATTATGTAATTTTCAGTGTATTTCAGGAATTCAAACTGCCCAAATTCTGGAGCCGACCTGCCCTTTTGCTTCCCCAAAGCCACAAGAGATTGGTGGAAAGCGTGATCTCGAAGAACAGCATGGAGAAGTACTCCTTGAAGATGAACCGCCGCCGCCACCACCGCTTCCTACATTGGGCTGTCGTGTAAATTACAAATTCTCCTAAAATGCTTACTATATATTTAAGTAATTCATTTTCATTACGCTCTCCTAAAAGTATTAATCAATTTGAAAGAAGTAACTAAAATTTCCAGCAAGCTATGATTTTGGCAATACAGAGGAAAACACTTGGCTAACTTATTCTTATGAGTTCACCAAGCTCGAAGATCAGTTAACGTTTTCGGATTGACTGACTTCCTAGAAGGGGTATAACAGCTTCGTAGCTCTTACGTGGTGGTTTAGATTTGGAATCCCGAGGACCTAGTGTAATCAAAATTCAGCACTAACCTCAGCGTCATCAACCACATAGGATGATTTTGTTGCCATGCATGAGTCCACTGACCAGGTTTCTAATGTAAATTGAACTGTTCTGCTGCACTTAATTGGCTTTGATTTTATTTCCATGCCTGCAGACTTATGCATACTTGCTCTGTCATTATTGGGCTAACGATGATAATGTCCAGAAGGCACTCCACATTAGAAAGGTGTGGGATTGGTTGTTACAAATAAAAGTCACGTTTGAAACAGCAAGACAAGTAAAGATGCAACTCTCCTGATCTTATGCAGGGAAGCATAGGACAATGGCAGCGGTGCACTTTTGGATTACCTTATACAGCCGATGTTCCAAGCAGTTTTCCGCATCATGCTAACCTCAGTGCCAGAGGGATCCGCGCTCTAATATACAGGTGAGAACTGAGATGGCTCTAATTCATGCATTCATTTTATTTTATTCTTTTTACTTGCTACAGTTTTAAGTAGCATTTGTTGTCATTTTGATTTCGATGCAGTGGCGACCATGACCTACTCGTGCCCTTCTTGGCAACTCAAGCATGGATAAGATCTCTGAACTATACAATTGTTGATGACTGGCGGCCATGGATGCTGCGAGGCCAAGTTGCAGGGTCAGTCTGCAGTTTTCTTTCTTTCTTTCTTTATGTTAATAAATTGTGATCTTTACACTTACAAGGCGATCTTAGAGAGAAGCTAACTTGGGCTTTTGGATGAGCACATCTTGTAGATACACGAGGACTTATTCTAACAGGATGACATTTGCCACTGTTAAGGCACGGAAGTTGTTCTATGCTTCTGTTTCCTTTCTTATTCCTATAAAGAAAAAAAAAATGTCAATTAGAGTAAATTTGTTGTTGTTTTCATTATCTTTCTCTCTTACAAATTTGGTTGAATTTACAGGGAGGAGGTCACACAGCTCCTGAATACAGGCCTGCAGAATGTTTGGCAATGTTTAAAAGGTGGATATCTGAGGAGCCTCTGTGATATAGGGACATGGAATAATAGCAAGAACTGCTGAAACATTATGCTACATATAATAATATCTGAAATTTGACATTGGGTTGAGTGCCAAAGAAATAACAGTGTCCTGGCCAAAACAAAAGGAAATTCTATAAAATATTTGAAACCATCATACCATGCTGTTCGCCTAATAGTAAATTGGTCTTCAAACCTTTGTTGTGGTACATGGCACTCTTGTTGAAAATCTTGTTTGTAGCAGAAGGGGAAAAGTACCACTTTCTGGAGACGCATTTCAATAATAAGTTATTTATATTTGGCATTTCAAGTAAATTTCTTTTCATTATTTGTTATTTCTATGGTATGCATAATTATTTATTGTATTAATTGATTAGTTATAATTAAAAAATTTTACTTTTTAGATTTGTTAGTTTTGTGGAAATAGTGTGTAACCTTAAAATTAAAAGTATAATTCCCCTTTCTAGTTTCGTTAATAATTAACATAAAAACTAAATGTTAATAGTGACTTCTCATATGTGATCTTAATTTAATTTTCGTTGTACTATTATTTTTTAATATTGTGGAACTTTTACATACTTTATGTCTCATTATATTAAATATAAATAATTATAACCATATTCATAAATATTTGATGAATGATGGTAAAATAACGGGATGTTGCGAATTGAAATTGCAAAGGTATTATTATTCAAATAAAATTTTAAATTATTTAAATAAATTTTTACATTTATTATATTTTATTAAATTTTTATATTTTTATTTTAAATTAAATAAATTTTTATGATTAATGATTGATTAATTATTATTAATAAAAATATTATTTTATATTTTATATTTATATGATAGTAATATGATATTAATATAAAAAATAAAATATATCATATAATTATATTATTATGTTAATTTAATATATAATGTTATTATTAATTATGATATATTAATATATTAATTAATATTATTCGACATAAAATAATAAATATCATTTTGATTAAATTAATAATTAATTATAAAATTAATTTAATTTAAAATAAAATATAAGATTTTATCTGAATTTAATAAAATAAAAGAGTTAATTTAAATTTGTTTAATAATTTTTAAATTTTTTAAAATATTATATTAATAGAAAAATATTAATAATATATATACTGACAAAAAAGAAAAAGAAATGAAATTGACGGGACAGCTTCATTTATTGTGGATCAACCACATCCCGTGGAGATATCTGCACAAGGCAGCAATAATTTCAGAATTTAATGGCTTTTGTCATTGCATTCATTAATTTAGCGCCCTTTCGACAAAATCCAGCAAGAGGTTAAAGCAATGGTTTTTTTTTTCACTATGTGCCAGAACTCATTATGCTTTGCCCTCGTTGTCTTATCTCCTCACCGAGTAATGAACCACTCGTTTATGCACTTTACGACGAACACGCTAACGTAGAACCCAAACGCATAGGTTGATCTTTAAGTAGCTCAGAGCAGAGATGTATAGAAACTGAGAGCTTTCAAATGGCGCTGCTCTTCTTTTTCTTCATTCTGTTACAGGTTTTCTGACAGTCACAGTACGCCTTCGCCGCGTCTCGTTCATTGACTAAGTTCCTTCCTGGATTTGAGGGGCCTCTCCCTTTTGAACTTGAAACCGGGTGAGTTATTTATCCAAAAAAAGAAAGAGAAAAAAAAAAGGAAAGAAAAACCGGGATGAGTCAATGAAGTTGGTGGTGGTACTACTATACCTTTTAGTTTCTTGGATTACAGGTTCATGATGTCGTGTATATGTGAATGTTGTTGTCAGGTATGTGGGTGTGGGTGAATCAGAGGATGTGCAACTCTTCTATTACTTTATACAGTCGGAGAGAAATCCTGAAGAGGACCCTCTCCTGCTTTGGTTGACTGGTGGCCCTGGCTGCTCTTCCTTTTCTGCTCTTTTTTATGAAATTGGCAATTAGGACAAGTCTAATTCTACAATAGTATTAGTTAATTAGTGATACGTTACTTAAAGAGAAGGGATGACTCTCAGAATTGTGGCGAGTTCGACGCTAATAGCTAAGTTTTCTCCGCAAGGACCTGAGATGACCAGATATTATATATATATATATATATATATATATATGACCCTGAAATCAAATCTGAATTAATCCCCAAGCTTTTCTAGGCTGCAAATTGATCTTCAATCTTATTCATCAAAAGTTTTAGCCCACACAGGGAACTTTCTTAAAACTTGATGATTAATCATCCAAATCAAACGACTTTGTAAAGTAGCTTGTGAAATGTAATAAAGTTGTGAACTTATGTTTCTCAAGTCTTCGGAATTTATGCTAGAGATGGTCGTCTTAATCAGAATCAAGCAAACTCCACAGACCCTAGTGATGCTGCAAGACTCACTAATGAAATGTGCCTCCAAACAAATGGATGGACAAAATCCTTGAAATATACTCATCTTTAGAACAAATTAAGGGTATATCAGGTCCTATGTTCTGACTTATCTAAACTATGTGCCTTAACAAACAATATATAGATATTTTAGTGTTCCTGCTTCTGCCTTTCAAAAAATAAAATTTAATAAATGAATTTTAGGGCTTCGAGATGGTTTACTACTCAGGTAAAGTATACTGATTTCTGAGTGATTTCAGGGATACATACTCGGGAACCCCATCACTGTGCCTAGTCTTGAATACAAACTTCAGATTCCATATGTTCATGGAATGGCATTAATTTCTGATGAACTCTATGAGGTAAATTGATCTCTCAAACAGTCAAACTCCCCCAGATGTCTTCGGTTTCAAACTTGGTCGTTATCTCTGAACAAAGATAAAGTGTAAAGACAAAAAATACGAAGCCAGAGAATGCTATTTTAAGTAATAAGTTAATGATCCTTTTATACTTTTCCAGTCAATAAAGAGAACTTGTGAGGGGGAGTATCACAATGTAGATCCCAGCAATGAGGAGTGTCAGAAAGATCTTCAATATTATGACAAGGTATGCAGATTTTTTTTTCTTTGTTGTTGTTCTGGCTCTCATTAATTATTTCTTTTGTTGCTTACCTCAATTATGCAACTCTCAGTGTGTTTCAAGAATTCAAATTGCACAAATTCTGGAACCAAGATGCGCTGAGGCTTCCCCCATGCCACTAGAAATGTTAGCTAGAAGGCGGTATCTTGATGAACACCATCAAGAACTCCTAGATCCTTTTCCACCTCCTACAGTTGGCTGTCGAGTAATGTGGCATACTCCTCAAATGCTCTCATCATATATGTAATTCATCATAGGACTAAAATTTTAAATGATATTATAAAGATTAAATAGTATGAATTTCCAAGCAAGCAAGAAAGACGATAAGTTAAAGTGCGTTAGAGTCATTCCAGCTTGTTAGAGACTAAAACCTATTCTTATGATCTCACCAAAGAGTTCAATTTTTCTGAATGAATACATAATTTTCTAGTAGCGTACCAGAACTTCAGGTTTCAGATTTCAAATACTGAGAGCCCCAGTATTCTTGTGATCATATTTCAACACTACCCTTGAGCCGTCAACCACAGGATGAATTTGTTATTCCATGAGCCCAAGTGGCTCGTGACCAGTTTTTGTAATGTGAACTTAAATTCTCCTGCATATTGATCTATGTCTTTGCAGACTTATTCATATTTGCTCTCTCAGTATTGGGTTAACGATGATGTCCAAAAAGCTCTGCACGTTAGAAAGGTATGAAATTGGTTGTTAAAAATTAAACTGGTAAGGCAAACGGCAGGACAAGCAAAGAATCAACTCTTCTTTTGTGCAGGGAAGCATAGGACGATGGCAGAGGTGCAACTATTCTATACCTTATACAAGAGAGGTTCAAAGCAGTTTTCAGTATCACGTAAACCTCAGTGCCAAAGCCTACCGTTCTTTAGTATACAGGTTAGGTGGCTATTTTATGCATTTTACTTGATTTAAAATCAGTGATGATATGCAGTTATGCGTTTTTTTATTCTTTTATCAAATTGACTTCGATGCAGTGGCGATCATGATATGATCGTGCCTTTCTTGGCAACTCAAGCTTGGATAAGAGCTTTGAACTATCCCATTGTTGATGATTGGCGGCCATGGATGCTACAAGGCCAAGTTGCAGGGTTAGTGATGATTCAGAGTTTTCATTTTAACCTTTTGCCTTTGTATCTTGTGATTTTACTCTTAGAAGGGAGCTTAGCGAGAAGCTAAGTTCGGACTTGCATTTTGTAGATACACGAGGACTTATTCGAATCGGATGACGTTTGCCACAATTAAGGCAAGGAAGTTCTTCTCTTTAGGTTTCCTTTCTCACCTTATAAAGAAAAAAAAATCAATTACTTTTAAATAAAATTTCCCCTTTACTATATTCTGTTAATATGTAGGGAGGAGGGCATACAGCTGAGTACACCCCGAAAGAATGTTTTTCTCTGTTTAAAAGGTGGATAAATGGAGAGCCTTTATGACTTCAAAGTTGTGAAGTAAAACGTGGTTCAGCTTTGATGGATAGGAACTCCAATGGTGGCAAGAACTGCCCAAATATTGTTCTATATAGCATATTCCCCTGTTTCAGTGAAAGCCCCCAGTTAATCAAGCCCCTTACCTTTTAAAGTTTTGTACAACATGACGTGGCACCTTCTTGCTCAGACAGGTGAATAATAGCTTCTTTTTTTATTCTTCTTTCTCATCTTCAAGTCCTCATTGTGACATGCCTAAGTGGGACAATGGTCCCCTCATCGTTTGTATTGCATGCATTTGCAAGTGATAAGTAGCTGAAAAGCGCAAAAGGCAACGACTACCGAACACTTTTAATGCATAATTTCAACACTTATAAAAGTCAGGATTCGGACCGTTTAAATTAACCATTTTTAATTTGTTTTGGGATAATAGAAATATAGAATATTATTATTTCAATATCCAAAGAAGCAGTTTTCAATTCAACTATGAGTTGTTTTGTGGTTCCATTTTGTCCCGTTCTTTCCATTTTCTCTTCTCACAATTTTCTCCTCTCCTACCCAGCATCGTGGGACATAAACATTGCCTATAATTTATAGAACTTTAAAGGATAGCGTGGATCATGCGAGTCTAATATCCAAGAGTATGTTTTAAACGAATAGAGTTATAAGTTTTATATCGAAAAAAAAAACCTTCTAATAAACAATCATAAAAGATATCTTGATTTGAAAGAAAAATATCACAAATTTCATGTTGAGATATTAGACATATAAGAGTTCATATGGTTTTCAATATGATATGCGAGACATTTGAAACAAACTCGTGGAAAGAATGGATCACAATAGACAATATCTTATGTGGATTGCGATCTTGTGTGTCACAAGTTAACTTTGTATCATATTATGATAGTGTAGAATTGTTTAAGAGATTTAAGTTTTTTTACACTTATAAGGAAAATATCTTTATTTCAAACAATATAATATCTCATGATGACATTTTCATAAAAACTTATTAAGTCTTTAGAAGGAGAAATTTTTTAGAAAATGAATGTTTTCATTTCAAGCGTTGTAATGATTATTAATAGAATTTTTACAAAATTTCGTAAATTCTTTATAAGGAGTAAGTAGTTGACGAATTATTTGGTTACTGACAAAGGTATGTTTATAGCGAATCATCTAAGACTGCCTTTATGATCTAACGATAACATGTCTTGATTCTTTCATAATTAATTTTATATTAATAAAATATTTTTTATAATTTAATAATTATATATATGTCGTTCAATATATTTTTTGATTTTAATATGAATTTTTTTAATTTGATTTGTTATTATTATTAATGTTTGACTAGATATAATTGAATATTAATTAATTTACGTGAAAATGTCTATTCAAGTATCACACTAACTATCGCATACTTAAGTGAAACCTAATTTGTGATAGTGTACATTAAATTTGAAAGAGGATAGCTTTCAAAATAAAAATTTGAAAGAGGACAGCTTCGATAATGTCAGAATTTACTATGCTTGTGCAGCACACTTAGCAGTCAAAGCTATTTTCAGTACGTAGTCCACCTTTTCATCAAAATCATTGAAGTTCACCCTCGACAAAATCTAGCGGAGGCTAGTTCGCCGGTGGTTTTACTCACAAATCGTTACCAAACTCAAACTGTCTCCATTCTCCTCTTGATAGCTTGTGGATGGCAAGATCAGATAAAATTGCAGTTGTTCTCTTTCTCTTCTTTCTTTTTAAGGTTTGCTGGCTGCTCCCTACGTCTCATTCATCGGTTAAGTTTCTTCCTGGATTCGAAGGGCCTCTGCCTTTTGAACTTGAAACTGGGTGAGTCCATAAAGTAGTTGGTGGTAATATACTATACTTTGTATTTTCCTTCTTGGTTTTGCAGATTCTTGATGTTATATACGTGTATGTTATTGTCAGGTATGTGGGTGTGGGTGAATCAGATGATGTCCAGCTCTTCTACTACTTTATAAAGTCGGAGAGGAATCCTGGGGAGGACCCTCTCTTGCTTTGGCTAACTGGTGGCCCTGGCTGCTCTGGCCTTTCAGGCCTTGTTTATGAAATTGGTAAGACAGGCCAAAGTCCCCAGCAGTATTCAATTAAGTAGTATACTTTTGCTTAAAAGGGAATGGGAGACTTGTTTCTGGTGATATGCCAATAAGAAGTTTATTTCTAGTTTGGCCCTCACATGACTAGAAAAACATGATATATACATTTTGGTTCCCTAAGATCTTTTTAATTCAAATTTGTGGTTTTTAAAATCGATGTCCTTAAAGCTGCCTTGAATTGTATTTGCCAACAGAAACCTTTCATAAAATTGTCTGCAAATGATAATCAATCTTCAAAATCAAAATCAACCACTTAGATCCAAGGCATTTATCTTAACATTGCAGGTCCACTGAATTTCAATGTTGTGGAATGCAATGGAAGCTTGCCTACATTGGTATTGAATCCATACTCATGGACAAAGGTGATAATGCCATTACAGAAGTAGAACAAATCAGAAGATATTTCTTTTTTCTTCTGTTTCTTCTTAATTTTATAACTAAGTTGGACATTAGTCATTTATTTTCAGATCTCCAGCATCATCTTTGTAGATTCACCCGTTGGCACCGGATTCTCCTATGCAACAAACCAGCATGCAGCTCAGTCAAGTGACTTCAAACAAGTTCACCATCTCCACCAATTTCTCCGGAAGGTTGAGCACACCTTTTTTAAGCAAAAGTCCAAGTTCAAAATGTTTTTTTTTGGGATGCATTTAATTGAGTTGATTGTTGCTGTTTTTCCATTGAAGCAATTTACTAGTATTTTGTTTTTATGTAGTGGCTGATGGATCATCCCGAATTCCTCTCAAGTCCAGTCTACATTGGTGGGGACTCATATTCAGGCATTACTCTCCCTGTGCTCGTTCAAGAAATCATATACGGTAAAGGATAGTTCCATATAAGAAGGGAAATCTTGTGCAAATAGATAACCACTTAGCACAAGGTCCTTATCTAATGTAGCAATTTATTTAGACAACAAAGTTGTAATTATAAATTTCATAACCCTGTAGGAAATGAAGAAGGTATCAAGCCACTAATCAATCTTCAGGTTCGTAATTGCATTTCTTTTTCTTTTGATTTTGAGAAGGAAAACCGATGCCTAGGAATTAGAATAGATTTCAATGACCAAAAAATTGGAGGAAAGGTGAGTTTATGAAGTTGCTTGTAAATGGTTATACCACCTTAAGTGTAGCTAGAAAGTAGAAATGCACAGTTCAGGTTATTCAAAATAAAGCAAGGAAACATCCAAATATAACTGAATAATGAGCTTTAACCAAAGACATAAACATTTTTAGCGCATGCTTCCAGTGGGTTGCTAATGAGCTAGTGGATCCTGAGTGCTTTCAGGGATACATACTCGGGAACCCCAAAACAGTGCCAACTCTTGAAGCCAACTCCAATATCCCGTTTGCCCATGGAATGGCACTGATCTCTGATGAACTCTATGATGTAATTTATTTGTCTTCCTTTAAATCTCTTCTCCAAGTTTCTCCAGTTTCCACATTTAGTAACTGGGCAAAACTACCTAGTCACCAGAAAGAAAAAGCTTTGAAAAGTTTTTCTATTAAGCAATCGGTCGACTTTGTTTCCAGTCACTGAAGAGAAGTTGTCGTGGAGAATATCAAAACATCAATCCCAGTAACGTGGAGTGTCAGAAAGATCTTCAGTGTTACACCAAGGCATGCTGTTCTCTCTCAGGTTCCTTTTCTTTTTAATTTAAAATATTATTTTTTTCATTACTGTTATTAGTCTGAGTCATTTTCTTTTTGTTGATCCTTGTATTGCAAAACGCAATTTCAGTCTATTTCAGGAATTGAAAAAGCGCATATTCTGGAACCATTATTCAGTTTTGAATCCCCAAAGCCACAAGAAATGTATGCTAGAAGACGGTATCTGGATGAACACCAGAAAGAGCTCCTTGATCCTGAACCGCCAATACTTCCTAAAATTGGCTGTCGGGTAATTCCATATTCTCCCCTCCGAAGGGTAAATTCTGTAATTTATCATGATGCCAAAACAAAATCATGGTAAATATATCATAAAAATTGAACTAACAGCAATCTGTAAGATGAATTGGTACTTTGAATTGACCATTTCCTGTAACGAATGAAAATCCTATCGAAACACCTGAACTCTGACTTATATTCCTTGGGACAGACTTATTCCTATTTGCTCTCTTCTTATTGGGCTAATGATGGCAATGTCCAGAAAGCGATCCACATAAGAAAGGTATAAAATATAAGTAGTCGTTTAAAATTAAACTGGCATGAAAACCGCAAAAGAACTGAAGAAGCAACATTTGTCTTTCTGCAGGGAAGTATAGGGCAATGGAAGCGGTGTGATTTTGGATTGCCTTACACAGCTGATCTTCTGAGCAGTTTTCTGTATCACGTAAACCTCAGTACCAGAGGTTACCGTGCTTTAGTTTACAGGTGAGATAACTCTATCTTCTGCAGTTACTCAATTTAAAACCTATCATGATGCGTATTTAAAGCATGCTTTCGTTTTTATTTGGGCTTGGATGCAGCGGTGACCATGACATGCTGGTGCCTTTCTTGGGAACTGAAGCATGGATAAAATCTCTCAACTAT